GAAAAATAAAAATATTCTGAAAATTATCGGAACTGGACGCGTGTTCCATTGAATTCAGTTCAACTTTCTTGTTCATCAGCAAAAGCTCGTGCAAAACGCTGGGATGATCCAAGTGCGCTGCAGCACTAAGCAAGAAAGTGTGGGTGTTGTTTGATCCAAGAATTTCCTCTTTTGCGCTAAAAAAAAAAAACCCACATAATCTCATTAATGATATTCTTCGCGGGGTTAGGAAAAAAAGGAAAGAAAGTGGGAACTTACGTGGGTGTAATTGAGTCAGTCGAAGAAAGCCTCTTCACAACTATTTTAGCATACTCCTTCCCAAAAGTCCTCATGAACTCTTCCACTTCAGCATTATGGTAATCCGTCTACGAAAGCATCTGCATAGATTAATCCAGAAATCCCATTCTTTATAATGACCCACCAGCCTCTCTTAACTCTAAGAGTACACGAAGAAACCTTTGCTTTCGCGCGGTTATGGCCGTTTTTTAAGTCGGTGTTTACCGCACCCAAGACCTTGATCGTGGTTCTCTACTTACGAAACCCCAGGCTCGAGAGATTTTGAATTCTGAAAAAGTGTTAATTTTAGATTTCATCGAAAAAAAATTTTCTCGGGTAATTATTCTGACTTCAATTTTCTTTTCAGACTTCAGAAGCTGAAAATCTCGGACATGATCACGTAAGATCATTTCCCCAAATTTGTTTGAGGCATGGATAACTGCCGGATTTGTTCCCGTGGCTTTATTGAAAAGGAAAAATTTGTGTTCCAATTTGATGAAATCCAAGTCAGCTTCTGGAAATGGAGAATAATTAAAAACAAAAATGTCGTGGATTCAATCCAAATAGATAATCACCGTGGAAGTCTTGTGCATCTACAAAAACCCCATTTTTGAAATCAGCTCCCACTGAAACATTTGCGTACCTCTGCTCAAAAGGTGATGAAAATAATTCAGCCACACTTGAAGCTATTCCGATTGCAGGCAATGAAAAGTGCGTGACTTTGTTTCCTTGAAAGCCTGAAGGAAAAACGATTGGTTCATAAAAAAAAATTTTAGTAATCGATTACAGTACTTACTTTCTTCGGACCTTAAGCAAGCGCTTACAGGGTAATTCTGTGAGCAAGGGTTAAAGTGTTTACAAAAAAGGTAGCCTCAATCGCAGCCATCATTTTAACAGCTTAGAGAATAACTCCCTGCTATGGTAAGTGAACTTTGTATGTCATTCGATTTAAACTCATAAATTGAAACTTACGCTTTGACGATTAGAACAACGCATGTACTACAGGAGTTATTCTGCTTGTTGATGGCTTTCGTAGCTTCAAATTTAGATTCATCCCCGAAGTGGTCTTCTTGCACTTGTACCTGATTTTTTAAAAATAAACCAAGAGATGGACAAGAAAAACGGAATTGATTTTTAACATTTTTAGTAAATCTCGTCAAAATTTAGAGCTACTGTATATCATTAGCATCTCCGTAAAATTGAAGTGTAATCGTTCCTCTTTTGAACGATGTCCAATTTTATTGGTTTACGTGGGATTTTATTAATATAAACTGAATGGAACTTTTGATTAAACTTCTTCAGGGAATTAGTTATCACTCGCTTTTATTCAGGGATGAAAGGGTCAAAATAAGTTTAAAATAATCAGCCGCACAAAACGTCTACAAAAACTTTTTTGGGCTGCTAATACTGAAATTTGCCGGAAAATTATTTTTGACACTGCCTTTTTTTCTGGCAGATGTGTAACTGACGAGCTTTAAAGTCATACAAACAGTGANACGTGGGTGTAATTGAGTCAGTCGAAGAAAGCCTCTTCACAACTATTTTAGCATACTCCTTCCCAAAAGTCCTCATGAACTCTTCCACTTCAGCATTATGGTAATCCGTCTACGAAAGCATCTGCATAGATTAATCCAGAAATCCCATTCTTTATAATGACCCACCAGCGAGAGAATTGAGATTCTCATGTGCTTCTTTGGAAACGAAAGCGCGCCAATACCGGCAAAAAATTCAGCCACAAATGGCGTGGGTTCTGGAACTAGCACCAAGAGATGAATGCTTTGGGGTCCGAGCTGAGATTTTGAATTCTGAAAAAGTGTTAATTTTAGATTTCATCGAAAAAAAATTTTCTCGGGTAATTATTCTGACTTCAATTTTCTTTTCAGACTTCAGAAGCTGAAAATCTCGGACATGATCACGTAAGATCATTTCCCCAAATTTGTTTGAGGCATGGATAACTGCCGGATTTGTTCCCGTGGCTTTATTGAAAAGGAAAAATTTGTGTTCCAATTTGATGAAATCCAAGTCAGCTTCTGGAAATGGAGAATAATTAAAAACAAAAATGTCGTGGATTCAATCCAAATAGATAATCACCGTGGAAGTCTTGTGCATCTACAAAAACCCCATTTTTGAAATCAGCTCCCACTGAAACATTTGCGTACCTCTGCTCAAAAGGTGATGAAAATAATTCAGCCACACTTGAAGCTATTCCGATTGCAGGCAATGAAAAGTGCGTGACTTTGTTTCCTTGAAAGCCTGAAGGAAAAACGATTGGTTCATAAAAAAAAATTTTAGTAATCGATTACAGTACTTACTTTCTTCGGACGAATTCGTTCGCGAATGTCCCATTAAGACACTCGTTCCCAATTTCACAAATGTTTTTTCCATCGGAGTTAGCGTCGGTAGTAAAATTGTCGAATCTCTTATTGAGGGACGATACCATTCACTTGAAAATATGTCATTCGATTTAAACTCAAAAATTGAAACTTACGCTTTGACGATTAGAACAACGCATGTACCACAGGAGTTATTCTGCTTGTTGATGGCTTTCGTAGCTTCAAATTTAGATTCATCCCCGAAGTGGTCTTCTTGCACTTGTACCTGATTTTTTTTTAAATAAACCGAGAGATGGAAAAGACAAACGGAATTGATTTTTAACATTTTTAGTAAATCTCGTCAAAATTTAGAGCTATATCATTAGCATCTCCGTAAAATTGAACTGTATAATCGTTCCTCTTTTGAACGATGTCCAATTTTATTGGTTTACGTGGGATTTTATTAATATAAACTGAATGGAACTTTTGATTAAACTTCTTCAGGGAATTAGTTATCACTCGCTTTTATTCAGGGATGAAAGGGTCAAAATAAGTTTAAAATAATCAGCCGCACAAAACGTCTACAAAAACTTTTTTGGGCTGCTAATACTGAAATTTGCCGGAAAATTATTTTTGACACTGCCTTTTTTTCTGGCAGATGTGTAACTGACGAGCTTTAAAGTCATACAAACAGTGATATCGGACAATAAAAATATGGAGCCCCATTGAAGGCAGAATTAGACATCTCCTGTTATGCCCATATAAAATACAATCAGAAATAGTGCAAAAATGCAAATATAGCATTGTACTTGTTTCTCATTAACACGAAGCATTGTGTTCTATTTTGTTGAATTAATTTGAAATATTCCCAAAATTAAAATTCTCTAGTTAAGGATAAGGACAAAATTGAGGCCTTGATGGAAGAGTCTGCATTTAGAGCGGGGTAAAGATTGTCACTTTATAATGGGTATGGGTTCCTAAAATGTATTTTCTCTGAAAATAGAAATCCTACTGAACTCTATGGGTTCTCCGTAATGAACAGTATTTTTCAAAAGAGCCACGCAAATCAAAAAGTTTAGAAATATGGCTTTTGAAATAGCACGCGTCATCGCATTCGAAAAAAATAAATAGTTTCAAACGCTGGTCTTATTCATAACCGTTCAATCAGGACCGAAATTTGATATTAATTTTAAGGAGTCATAAACGCAATTCGACTTCTTTTTCTTTTAAATAATCCGTCAAAAGTTTCACGAGATGCAGCTTTTTAAAAATTGCCTCAAGTTTTCTGTAGACCCAAAGAAAGGACCTGCTCAAAATTGAAGTAATTTTTCGCTTACCATATGAATATTTGAAAGGTTAGCGGCAACTGACGATTGAATAAATCTTTGAACAAGATCACTTTCCTCCGGGAGCTTGTGTAAAGCAATGACCACAAGTTCTCTTCCAGTTCCATCGCCTCGTACAAACTGGTTCGCAGTCAGCAACACACAAAACAAATAAAACGCAAAAACCACACGCATTTTCGCACTGAAACCAAAATAATTAATGGCGCAGTTTCTTCCCTTGAAATCCCGCAGCGCATGAAAAGTTGAATCACGACTTGAATCCCCTGGAAAATATTTAGGGACAGACTGAAAATGGGGAGAATAAGAACATACCATGAAATTATTTCCCGCTTTTGAAGTCGAAGTGGCGTGTTTTTCTCGCGAACCGAGCTCAAAACAATTTTTTTCTTGGGATGTTATGATGAAGCGGACTGATCATTGATATTTTAAAAATAATACGCTGCTTACCATTTAGATCTCCTTCCTTCTGTGAGTAATTAGCGAGGATATTTGAAAATTAATGCACTTTCTGAAGGTCAGGTCACGTTGTGGAGTACAGGTATCGTGAAAAATTGGCCGATTGCTCTGAAAAGAAACTTCATAAATGACTCCGATCCACCACCTTCATCCCACGGCAGTCATCGAATGAATTACCAGGAATAGTAAAGAACTTTATAAAAAAAATTATACTCTTTTTCAAGGCGGATGGATGCACCTGCTGGTAGAAAACCAATTGCTATGGGTATAAGGTACAGACAAAATCATCTTTAGCACGATCGAAAGGAAGCAATACATTATATCGAATCGTGGAGTTTTGTTGAACCGAATTCTTCATGCTCCAAAATGTGAAGTTTTTTTTCAGTCCCTTTTTTCAGCCATATTTCTTCTCTTCTATAGGATCCAGATCAACATCGTTCTTGCTGGTCGTTCATAAAAATTGCTCCTAGCTGTTGACATTTAATTTTTCAACTTGAGGGGCAATTTCAAGTGTTTTGAGAAGAAATAGATTAAATTCATTCTGTAATAATACAAAATATGCAAGAAAAATCGCTTTTTTTCGGATGCATGATGCTCTTCACGCCTCAACCAACAGTTTCCCCATGACAAACACTCCATGAAGGTTTATACGCTCCTCTCGTGCAAAACACTTCTTCTATTAAGACTCAATCACACCAACTCGAAATTAGCCTGCAAAACTTGAATGGTATTAAACAGTAAAATCATAATATAAATGCAAGGAAGACGGATTTTCTAATAAATTTCAACTGAAAAATTGAACGATTTCTCAGTCACAACAGACCCGCGAAGGTTATATACTTATCGTACAGTGCACCTGATTAAAAGTTGTGTAAACAATTTCCAACTTTCAATTGACTCACGACTGCGTATACTGGTACAGTATCCATAAAACATAGGATGAACCAGAAATCTATTGAAATGATTCGACTAACTTTTATAGTGATCAATCTGGTTTTGTGAACAAGCTAAATTTTTTAAAAGGCAAAAAATCACAAATCCGACGCTCTTCAAAGAAAATTATAGAAGACGATTAAAATGGCGAATTAATTTTGTTGTTCGCATTCCAAAATGCGAATGATGTTCATTTTTAACGCTGGCGAAGAAAATTACGACATTATTTCAAGCCCCAATATTTCCAAGGAGACGAGATTCTGTACGAATACATTAACTCACGACATTTGAATTAAAGAACCCTTCAGCTTTTTTTGCTAAAAAATTAAAACCTAATCTCCCATTGCATAGAAGACAAATGAATACTTGCTTTTCTAGAAACTTATAAATTTCGAGAGAAGATTTCATTTAAACCACATGCATCTAAAATAAAATGTGTCGCAACGAAACGCAATTCCAGGAATTATGAAATATTCCTCAGAGGCGTCCAAAACATCTGATATGCCGCCTAAATTAATGATTTTTTTCACAAAACACGGTGTCAGTGTGACAGTCTCTTTAATGCACGAGAGTTCGTCGTAGAAGTCGTCGGGATTACGCATCAACAAGACGACCTTGAACTTCGCAGATTAATCCGAAACAGCGAATCTCCGACCGAGCGTCAGTTCTTCCTCTTGAGACCTCGACTCCTGTCATGTTTGATCTTGAAATCAGGTTATTATGTGGATTTCGAAAAAATAAAGAAAAGCTGTCGTGTAATTTTAACTGAACAGACGATGTACCGTGCACAAGTTCTCAAGTGATCAGCTCCAGATTGTACTTTTCCAATAGAAGCTGCTGGGATTAAGACGTGTCGAAATGCAGTTGACTCAAGTCGCCTTGCTGCTCGCCTGGTTAACATCGCGTGTCAACGTCTTAGCTGCTCCTGGACTAGAAAACAGTCATCATGTGAACAGCAACATCAACAGTGACTACGAATACTCGTCCGTGACAACAGAAGCCAATTTTCTGAGCCAGGAAGAACGGAAAATGATCCAGGAAATGATCAAGAGTGTTTATCATCCCCTGCCGCCTCGCACGATGATGATTACTAAGAAAGAAGTTAAAGCAATTTCAAGAATTCCTTCTCTTCAAAAATGTTGAAATTTTTTTTTTTTGTGGTTTCACTTCCAAGGGTTTTGGGAGGACCAGTCGACTGATACGACTGCCTTCGCAGATGACTTGTCCTCGTGGACAAATGCTGGACTTCACAGGACAATGCGTCGGTGTTTGGAATCAAAGTTCCCTGAAGTACAGGCTTCTGTGATGCCTTTTATTTCAAGATGCATCCATAAATAGCGCATGATTGTATTTTTTTTCTGAAATTTTTCAAGGAGAATACAGAGAATGTGGAATGAAATATTATATGAATCATCTGCACCTTTTTCTGCGTAAAATTTTCAGCGATCGGATACGATAGCGCATACATTTTGAGACTCCTATATATACGCTTGCCTTCGGGTAATGAATACATTTTAAAATTTTGTCAGCATTTTTACTTCAGAGCATAGTGCCGATTTTTTTGACGAATATTATTCAGGGCACGCAAATGCAGACCTGGGTAAGTAGTTAGATTTCTCGATTGAAATTTTATTGGATCTACACATTTTTCTAGGAATATCCCGTATGCTCCTTATATGGTGAATTAATTCGCCTAAAAACATTTTCAAATAAAAAAAAACCGCGTTCATGAAATACATTCATTGAATACTCTATTACAAATATATTACAAATATCTTGAAAAAGTATCTGATGCGTTTTATTTTCATATCGCCTAGAAGAAAACAACGTCAATAAAAAATAGAGAAAAATCTGGATATCACGTTAAAACAATTTTCTTATTGGATTTATGCGGGTATGAACAAACAATTCTTTTAAAACTTAATCTCAGATTGTTTTCTCATTCTGCAAAGATGTCGCTTCAGTTTTCGTCATGCGCAAAAATTTACACAGAAAAAAAGCACGATTTTATTTTTTGAAGCTCTGTTCCGACTCGAGCCAAATATTTATTTTTGGAACCTCGTCGAGGTTCGTGTGAAGGAACTCGAACATGTCCGCCATCAGTGGGGGTTTTGACTCGAACGCTATTTATTTTTCCTTTCTAATTCGAAACAATGTTAGCCATTTCGTGTTGTTGGTGTGTATCCACGTTCCTGTTGTCATGAAATCGTGCGAATCTTGGGGGATACAAAGTCGGAAGCCTCCGTTGATCACGATTGACTGATTTTCAAGTGAAAAAAGGAGTGGGAATGTGGATAAGTGTACGTGGTGAACACGATGAGCGTGAGTTCCATAGAAACGAAATGTTTGAATCGAATACAAATTAAATGAAAACAAATTTTTATTTACGTAAGTTAGGCTAAACATTGGATCAGAACACAGAACTACTTTCTGGTTCACGTCCGAGAACAGTTCAAAAGTCTTGACAGTTCCGTGCTTTGTTCTGCAAAAGTCTCAATGGAATAATGCTGCAATTTCACGATAAGTAGTTACTGAGAATTTCCAAACGTATGTTCCAGTCTTAGTTCTCGCAGGTTTGTGGACTTCTAGATTGAAAAATGCACTCGTCGTTGCTATAAAAATGCTTTAACTTTATTTTGTTCGAGTTTAATCATTTCGCCGGCAGTCTAAAAGTCTTACAATTTTAAAATAATTGAAATTTATTGTTGGTGAGAATAGTATCCCGGTCTAAAAATCAAATTTCAATCAGTTTTTGCAAGATGATGTTGGATGTGTGGATCCCCCTTGAAGTTCAATTGGAGAGTAAACATTGACCAAAATAATCAGAAACTTGACGAAGGCTTCAGTTTTTTTGTTCGACCAGCAGTTCGGAGGATTCAGAATTTGGAGTACTTCGAGAGTAATCAAATTTGTCACTACTAAATACTGTATCGACCATATTTTTAAACCATTCCTCGTAAAAGTGTAATCTGACACCGATTTCTAAACTCCCGGAAGAAATTCATCTGTTTTTCATCTTAAAATATTCCCGTTCTTGATTTTTGTTATTTTATTTCTCTTTGATGATCCACATACACCGTGGGATCGAAAAAAGCCGAAAAATACGACGAGAACCATGTTTTTAGCCAGTGGAACGTTCTTCCCGATCTGGTTATCGAGGAGATTTTTGGATATTTGGACATCAAAGAGAAATATTATGCGTCTCTCGTCTGCTCGAACTGGGCCTACATGTTCAAATCGCCGCGAGTGTGGAGAAAATTTATTTTGGACGACGCAACCCTTACAAGAAGGAAATTCAACTACTTTTTGGGTTACCAGGTAATGAGGCTAATTTTCAAGTTTCCACTGCTTTCCACGAGCTTTGATCAGATGCATTTCTGAAAAAGCTTTAACCTTGAAAAGTGAAAAGAAGTTTTAACCTTGAAAAGTGCATGGCAATGCATTACCAAAATTAATTATTTGAGTTCGAAGTACGGAAACGTTGCTGTACGCACTAGATGATCATTATCTACTGCGAAAGAGAGATGAAATATAACATCCCAGTAATTAAAAATAATTTCAAATAAACTATTTCTAATACTTTTGTATTGATAATTTATTCCACCGGATTGAAAGGTGTTGAAGCATGAGCCTTATTCGTCAAATATTTATCTGCCTATAGATGCACGTGCTTGGGCAAATAGTTCAGATTCCATATGCTGTATTTGATTAAAAAATGAAGCTAATTATCATGAAACATTTTTGTCAGCGTTCACATTCAAGAATCGCGGGATTTTCACTTGATTATTGTCAAAGAAAATGCGTCGCGATTGTATCTCAAAATTGTCTGGTATTTTGAAGCGAGTTTTGGACCACCTGCGGACTTCAGTATTCTTGTACAAGGTAGCAGATCACATCCGGAGCATTTTCATTCACCCCATGACAAATTTCTTCAACATGTACGAATTCATGAACATGGCATCTTCGTATGTGGAACGGGAGCCCGGTGTTTTGTCTATGATCCACACTCTGAGATTTACCTTCTCATGTCACTTGGCTCACGAAACCAGGGATGAAAATATTTTTGGAACCGGAGGAGAGATTCTGCGTGGTTTGAAGGTAAATTCAACTCAAGATTATATGCTAGCTTAGTGATATTATATGCTAGGAACAGTGTTGAAAATGTGATCGAAGCTCCATCTCGTAGCATTTTGCTGTTCTAAGCAGATTAAACTGATGAATGTGAAATTTTGCGTTATTACGAAACCCAGCTTTGATATCAAGCTATCAACGCTGTAGGGTGATAGATTCAACTTACAGCTGAAAATACCACGAAAAAGAAGCAGTAGACTACACAGAAGCAAACGGAATGATAACTTTTTACCTGCCCTGAAATTTTACTTTTCTATCCTCTTTTGAAATATTTAATTAAACCAAGCATCCAACCAACTCAACACACAACTAAAGCAGTGGCTTTTTGGTACATGAACTTGATCCTGAACAAAGTATGTTAACCAAATAGTTGGTTAACCAGATCCCATTTTCTCTTGATTAAGAAAGTACAAAAGATGTTCAATTTATTGGTTCAAAAACATTGAAAGTGCTCATGAAAATCTAGGAAAAGTGTCTTTGGAAATGCTTACTAGGCCTAGAAACAATTTAAATTTGAAAAAATGTAGAGTGGTCCCAGCACTCTCAAGCTTCTGGCAAAATTCTGGCATTTAAAAAAATGTAAAGCAAATAATTTAAATATATTTATCTGGCTTACAAGAAAACATTTTTAAGCAATCAAGAGCTTGAAATTGAAAGATTCAGCTTATTACCTGTTCAATCCTGAATTTCAGTTTGAAACACTTTTGATCAATGAATCAACAAGATGAATTGAGTTGGGCAGGACACCACAGGCTTTTGCTACCAAAAAAAAATGACCCATTCACGTCCGAACTAACTAGAATTTGGAAACGAAGTCAGGGTATGTTAACCAAGACCCGACTGTAATATAATGTAACACAAAATGAAAATGACCGATGCTGTAACGGGAATAAGGAAGTGGAACATCAGGTATCCTGGCATTGGCGTAACTTAGTCAACATTTTTCCCACACCATAAAAAATATTGCATCATAAAAGCATTTAAACCACAGAATAACTTTGAAAGGGAACCCATTCACCTCCAGATTTTTGCAATTCAGTTCCTCTTTTCTTCAATAATTTGAAAATTGAAGTAGCCCGAGAGAGAAGCGAAATTTATTTTCAGAACTTCTGATTCGTTTTACTGTACCATGTTTTTAATTCTTTAATTCCAGAGATTTATGAATGCGTTACCAGCTCTGCAGAACTTGGAACTCAACGACCTGCTCTTGGACAACGCTGATGCTCGACATCTTCTGGACGAGCTTTGCTACAGCAACTGCCATAAATTGAGAACCTTGAGACTCGTCAATGTGTCCAAAGAACCCTGTCCTTTGATGCACGTCGGCATTTTTGTTGCCCTGAGAGAACTTTGGCTCTCGCCTGTCACAATTGGCGACGAGGTCGTCGTTCTGCTCGGGTGCGCAGTTGAGTCCACTCTCTTTTTAGTCCGTGTGGAAACATGTTAGACTTAATATTTTTTTGTAAAATACATTAAAATCTCTTCACAACAAATACCATTTCAATTTATTTTTTTGAATGGCAAACTTTTCCCCAAACTCCAGCACAAAACTCAGAGTATACGTTAAACCAAACACATATTAACAAACTTCCCAATTCCAGTATAAGACACTTTTTTGAGAAATTTTTGATAGATTCTCTGGATAGAAAATTCCTGACAAGGGCAGGCTCGCAGTCTGAAATTTCTTCCAAAATTGTTCTGACATTTGACCCGAAATATTACTGTCTGGTTCATTTAGTCTGGATGGGAGCTGCTATCAATGGCAAACATGCTTCCAACTGGTTCCATACATCATCCTCTCAAAATGAAGAGATTGGCGCCACTGATGGAATGCATGATGCATGAGTTATGTTTTTCAGAGTATTACTTAGTTTTTCAAACAAACAAAAAAATCTGAGAATGCCAAAAAAGGATGATCTGATTGATTTTAGGCAGGCCTGATGTTCAGATTTTGTCCCATCAATAATTTTGAAAATTTTTCAAAAATTTATTCAGTATGAAAAACTTTTCCGACGACGTCCCTGCAAAAGTTTGTTGCAATGAGATTTCACTGTAATTCAAGTTGAAAATCTGTATGAGGTGTATTAATTCTTTAAAAACAAATGCTTTACTGATTTAAATGAACAAAAAGATGAATTCACTCGACTTTGCCGTATGACTTTTCGACGTTATAAAAATATAGCAAGCTGATTCACCAACTCTTTTTAGGCAATTCCAGATTGAAAAAAAAAATTCGTAATGAGAGTTGTTTAATTAACAGTAACCAGAACTAAAACATCGATTGCGTTTTTCTGACACACTACATGCTAAATCAAGGTGTATGGCTCTTTTCTTGAGATCGATTGACACCAATTTACCGAGCTTGAAACATTCAAGTCTCTCAAGCCCAGAGCTAGGGTTTAAAATTGAATATTTATTTTCGCTGTTGACTGGCGTCCGGAAAGTTTTGCTGTTCAATCTTTAGAATTACCGAAAACTTCCAACTTTTGCGGCATTTATTTTAATCCACTTTCAGATCCATCTAAACTCAGGGTCTTATGAAACAGCCCGAGCGAAGAGACAAAGCTCGCTAACGGTCATGAACAATTTTCTATTCTTTGACAAAAAATTTAGCCGCAGGATAAAAACTAGGCTACGGACGTCAAGATTTTCTGAATGAATGAATATTATGGCGACGTTTTCGCTCCGAATTCACAGGTACACTCCAGGAAAAAAAAAGGAATGAGTTTTCGTTAATTCCTTAGCTTCAGTTTCATTTCCTCCTTTATCCATGGCAGATCGTCGAAGGTGCGGGACCTGATCATCTATCAGGATAAACACTCGGAAGAAGCTCCTCCGGTGAACCGGAAATCATGGAAAAAATGCGCCGGAAACAACCCTGAATTGAGGGTGCACTTGTTGATTCAAGGCCCGTCTGTTCGGCGAGACCACATTTGGCAACCCGGTGCCCCGGTAGCATCAGTCATCTATGAAACTCCAACTTCTCGGGTAAATCAATATATTTATTCACATTACATTCGAAAGAAAAGGAAGAAAAAAACTAAATTAACCCACGAACATAAACATTCCATCTTCACCCGCGATGAAGAGGAAAATTTCGAATTATACTGCAGCAAGAAGATGCGTGTGGAAAAATGGTTGGATGTGCTTCGTGTTGTAATAAGATCGACCTCGCCCGACGGCTGTGTATACTAAGAGGGATTGCTTATAGACAAAGGATCTCAAAACTTTTTTTTGAGAATTTAAATGTTAATGAAACAGGAAAATATTTCCTCATCCTCCAGGTCCAGACTATCAAGTCATATCAAAAGCCACTTGAAGTATGTACAGTGGGCCCCCGACTTACGACGGGTCCAAGTCACGTCGGTTTCAACATACGACGTTTTTATTTTATTAAAAAAACCTCCAACTTACGTCGGGGTTTCATGATACGACAGAAATATAATGAAAATCTTATTACAAAAAACTCCCAGAGACCTGAAAAAATTTTATAACGATGAAATCCATGGTATTTTGGGCATGTGGAACTAAAATTTTGTGGGAAACGGATAACAGATGCAAGTACAATACTTCCACAACAGATGCGTGAAGAATTGCCCAAATTTTCAATTTGTTTTGATGAAATGATGAAGAAAACTTGAAAAGTGAAATACTATTCTCTTATTTCAAAGATTTTATTTTTAACATCTTCTAAAAATATACTGATTTTACTGAAGTATAAGCAAAAATTTCTGACAAAAAGTTGAACTATAAAGGTAATTTTAGTTTAATATTTTTTTTCTGGAACGAATAAATTTTTTTATAGTGTAACCTTAAGGGAAATAGGTTTTCAACTTACAAAGGCCCCATGTTACAATGTTCATCCTGGAACGGATTGATGACATAAGATGGGGGCCCACTGTATCCCATATCATACTTGCCGGAAAGTAAGTGTTAAAATTTGCTGGACGTTTGAATTTTTTTATAGGGAGAGTCGAAGTGTTTAGTGATGAGTTGGTCTTTTGTTAAGCAGGAACCCACTCCACTCATAAATTCCTCTTCATAAATTCATCTTATTCCACAACATTCTGTAAACCCACGAAAAACGAGGATATTGAAGTGCTCCTCTGACATGTATTCCTCGCATTTTATTCTTCTCACATGAGGTGTTTGGTGGGGTGAAGTCGTACATCAATGCCGAGGCAAAATATAACTCTTAGGAAATTTATACTGCTATACTGCATATCCTGTATCCCCCAAGATGCTATCCCCTTTATCGCATTTCTTTACTCACTCGGTCGATGCAGATTTCTCCATGGGGATTGATGACAGTCGTGGAGAACTATTCGCAAACCCTAAGAGCCTTCGGCCATGTCGGCGCTCCGCATTTCCAGTCCCCGAAGAAATTCAGCGAACGCTTCGACTCCATGCTGGTGTTGCTGTGCCGGAGTTGCCGGCAACTGGAAACCCTGGTTATTCGGGAACGGGTGTCGACGTGTACATTGCTTCTGATGGCCTCGTCAGCGACGAGTTTACGACGATTCATCGTGCGACGCAACGCTGTCGTTTTGCGGAATGATTGGCCCGCGAATCCGGAGTGGACACCCGTGTTTCGACAATGGCTGAAGCGGAATTCGCGGTCCTACGAAAGGACTGAGGCGGAAATTGGCAACGGGATTGGACACGTCGGATGGAAGATGTTGCCTGATGTTCGTTTCAAGGCAGTGAAGCTCGACGTGCGACAGTTGTGAAGTTCCTGGAGTTTTTGTTGAAACGATTGATTTTGTTTTCTCTCTGTTTATTTAGACGATATGTTTTGTGTGTGGGCTGTGAAAGAGTGAGACGAAATGCTCCCCGAATCGAAAGTATTTTATTGATTCCAAAATTGAAAAATTTTAGAAATAACATGTAAGTTCTCATTTATGGTCAGGTGCGACCTTACGAGTTGGCCTCCAGCAGCAGTAGTATTTTAATTACAGACGAGGTGATCCAATGGCGGTTTTTCGTTCCTTATAAACAAATCTGCACACATTTCAAAATATATTCGATAGCAGCACAGCAATGACTGTAAACAACCTGCGTTCATTTGGCACAAACTAAGCGCATAAATTGAGCTACCCAACTTGAAACTTATCCATTTTAACGAGCACAAACCAAATCAAATATTGCAAGTGCAATATTTGATCGGTGCTGTGGTGTTCAGTATAGGTACAGTAAAGTACTTTGCTGTACCTATTCTGAACACCACAGCACCGAGAAAATTTAAGCTGCATCGCTTGGCATAGGCTTTAAGAAGAAAAGACTAGACACCTAGCATCAAGCAGAAAGATCATTTCCTGGTGACTTTGACTGTTACAGGTAGATGTCGCTTTACAGAAATATCGGAAATCTCATACCCCGGAGTTCACCGACGCTGCAGTTTAATCTTTTAATCAACACATCATCTCCTTGTCCACTATCTACTGTACTTGCTTTTGGGCAGTAATATCACAGTTCTCAGCAACATCAGGAAGTACAGTACAGTACTGTAGATTCTTGTAAAGAAATAAGTATGCGACCATCATGTCTACTCTTTTTCGGCCGGCCCCCTTAGGATGAAAAGACTTATTGTAATGCATTTTCATGGTGATACAATTCTGTTTCAACGGAATTTGAAAAAAAAATATCCAGAGACATGGATAGTGAATGAGCTAAGTACAAGCTACATTTGCCACTTACCAGTATTCACAAGGTTCACAAAATTTTGCAACATATCCCCCATCCATTATATAAAGTTTATATAATGATGCACCATGCACAATAGTTCTTAAAGACAGTATCTTGAAATACATAGATACTGTATTAATTTTTCAAAGTTTCCTTCAGATATACCATGGACCTAATGTCATGGGTCCATTGGATCCCAAACAAAGGAATTGAATTCTGCAGCCATTGGAATGTAAGTTTTGACTAAGAACTCAAACTCTTTTCAGAGGAGTTCATTCTCATTGCCCATATCCTCATTTGGCTGTTAATGAAATGTTTGTTTGGAATGGCAGAGTTAATTGTAAGATTGGTTGGTTAGCTCAGAAGTTTGAGTGAAGGAACTTAAGTAAAAAGGCCCTTTAACACAAGATTATCACTTCTCCTCTTGAAGTGGAATGAATGCTTTTATACATGCTTGGACTGGGTCAGGAAGAAAGCAGGTGATTTTTTCCTGGCTCAGGATTGGCCGATGGTAGTAAAATCTGGGAAGTGATGACCACTTCTTGGCCCGACAGGATTTTGGGGAGGCTCACTGGCACAAAATGTAAGATTTTTTATTCCTTTAACAGAATTCATTATTTTTTTTTTAGAAATTGTCTTCTTCCATCTACTATATATCTGAGGATGAACATTCTAAATAAAGAGAATCAAACAAAAACATCCGAAATAAGAAATCAAACATCAACTTCTTTAGTTTTGTTCACTTCTGTATACAGTCTAGGTATTTTAATAAGCATAAAATCATGCGCGGCGAAGTTGTTAGGAACGTGAGAAGTTCTAAGATTTAGTTGAATTCAAATCGAACAAGAATTCCACGAGCATTCATTCCTTGAATTTCTGCTCGAGTTTCTTCATCCAAGCAGCAACTGATTATTCATGCACGACATCCTTCATTATGTCGAAATTTGTCAAACCGTCATCGTCACTCGACTTCATTCTTCATGACCTTCTTTCATCCTCTCGAAGCGGTCTAATTAGAAATACGAGGGCGTTCTCCAGTAGGGGAGATAAATTACCTCAGACCGCAAGTCTCGCGCAGAAAAAAGAATAACTGCAGAAACTGTTGCAGGTCGCGTAAAACACTGACCCGAATGGCCTGAATTGCACTGCCCGTTGCCTGCAGCAGCCCCCTTGACAAGAAAACCACGTCGACTTCAAGCTGTTTCCAGACGTCGTCGAGACAGCAGGATGCTGTCATAAACGCCTTTGTCACTCGACATGTGCCCGTCATGGAACGACGGTCCACAGCGCAATTCCTCACTGACGCGTGTCAACTCTCCCGTTATCCCGACATGGCGATTACGAACAACATGGCGTACACAGAAAAAGTTCTGTGCGAAGTGGAAAATTCCTAATCAAAAAAAAAAAAAAACCACCTCGGATTCGCGCTGTTATTGGATGCATACTGAGAATGCGAGTGCGAAAAAGACTTCATACAACTCGCGAAACAAGATGTTGTTTAGGGGCGAAACAGCTTTTACGCACACAAACTCACAAGCAGGGTTGTTAATCGCAATCAAAAATTCAACTCCACAATCAAAATCGCTATTTCTTAGAAAAAGTTTTGCACAAACGAAATCGAAATTCTTGCCCCACTGTTACATTGTTGCACAATCGAAATCGCA